GTGGTCACCATTCCATTTTCGTAATGTTCGTCATAGTTTTTAAGCTAGTTCGCAGGAAGAGAGACATATCCACTTTTGTGGGTCTTTCTTCCTCTTTGTCTTGCTTTCATAATTCTCATCCTATCATCGGCTCTTCATAAAAACCATATTTATTTGCATTACCTCTCTCGAGTATCCGTTTCCAAGGGATATTCTAACAAATTTATCCTAGAATTCCATGTCCCTCAATCGTAGGCTTCTTATGATTATGCTCCTCAATATGCCTCTCTACGTTCTGTACTGTAAAAAGACGCGAAATTCAATATTATTCCGGCATATGACTTTTTTCTGAACCCTTTCATCTTGAGTGTCCCAGTAGAGCGAATTACCCTCACATCTAAGACAGCAAAATGCCTCTCTTCCTCTACATTAATTGTAAACTTGATTAAATCATCAATCTGGTTCATAAACTTAAGGAAACCCTATACTTTTTCTGTTTAATGCAACCATATTGCAAATTAGTCATCCAGGTACTGCATAAGAACTCTTGTTTGCAGCAGTGAAATCTGAAAATTCTCTTCTTATTTGTTCAAGCATACATTTGCCAATAGAGTTAAGAGCAGTGATCCCATAGGAAGTCCAATTGTCTGTTCATAGATGTTGCCATTTAATGTGAAGTTGGTGGTACTTATTGTTAAGTTGATTAGTCGTGTTAACGACACCCGTCTGGTAATCTCTGCTTCTAAGATATCCTCTTCTTGATCCAAAATTTCGACCAGGGCTGTTAGCGCCTTTTCCCCAGAAATGTTTGTGTGCATAGCTTGTAGATCAAAACTTACCAGTAATTGTGTTTCTTCCAGTGTCACGTTATTGATCCTTTGAGAAAATTCATATGAGTGCTGACTATGTTTTGATAATATCTCATTTGCCTTGTTTAGTTTCAGAAATGAACGTTGCTAATTTGTGTGTTGCTCTATACTTGTTGCCAACTATCAGCCGTAATAGTTCTGCCATAGGCTTTTGGTGGTTGGACATCCTTTATCTTTATGAATTTATTGTCCCTTCATTGATCTCCCCATTATTATGCATAGATTTTAGCATGTCCCGTAGAGTTCCATTGATCTTCATAGTTCGGTCCTTCTTTAGTACACGATGTGCAGTCTTGTCTTGTAGTATACATTCCATCTTCTCTATGTATTGTTTCCTGTTCATTACAACTGTCGCTCCTCCTTTGTTCATCTCGAAGAACAAGTATTCATTTCTTTCTAGGCTTATTCGTATTTCCGAAAGTTTGTTCATGTGCATTGGCTCATAATGTGTAAAGATTCTTAGGATTATTTCCATCTCCATTTCCCGTTTTGTCTCCTCAATGAACTTGTCGAAGATATTGATGAACTCCCCCAGAAGATTCCCAGAAGATTTCTGCTAATTTGAAGCAAAAGGTTTAGTCCATTCTTTAGGATCGTAGTGGTTTCAGGATCAAGATGAAGCGAGTATAAACTTACCAGTTTTTTCTGCTCGTCGGATGGATCAGTAGGTGTGGTCGCCTTGGAAACCCCTTTAACTTGACGCGCTTGCTTTAATATGCTTTGTCTTATAATTCTATACCTAAGCAATTTATTGTCATGTATTTTTGTCATTAAGTCAGAGATCCTACGTGATTCATTTTAGGCCATACCCTAGAGTTTGTAAAAATCCTCCGGAGTCAGAATCCTGGCCAGATCACGCCGGAGCTTTGACTTAATATCTGTTAACTTATATAGCTTATTCCTCTCCATATCATAGGTTTCGTTTAACATTCGCAAAGAGGCCTGGTGAAGAATCTCCTTAACCTAATCTGAATGGAATGTCTCTTAAAGTCACAAAATTCTGGAGTGATACCATAACGTTTACGACAGTTTTAAGAGATCAAATGACATGATTGACTTACAATTGTCTTCTTTACCCGGGTGTATTCAGTGCATTTTCTGACAACCTTACTGCTAAAGTTTAAACGTATATACGATGACCAAGATGGTGTGGCCTCAGTTTTGGTCATATTCTCCGAACAATAGGCTCGAGTCAGACCAGACACTCAAAATGGAGAGGAGCAAGTGTAATGACGCCATGGTAAATTTGCCAAAAGGACACATCTCTTATGGAATATAAACATGTCAGCAGTTGTAATAGGACGAGGAAGAGACAAGAGGATATGAAATGGATGGAGGTAACAGGACAGAACGAGGAGTGATAGCACACTCGTTTCGACATAAAGTTAGTCAAGGTATTGACTTCACTTTTCCTTTTTACAAATTGTAGTTTGATGCTTAGATCGGCAAGATTAACTGACGATGCTGACCATGAGTCCAGCTAAACGCCTGGGAATATACCAAGTCCAGGGTCAAACTCTGGAGATTATCATGCATACTATGGTCTCTGTTCAAGTTGCGTTGCAAGGGTTTTCCTGCCAATATGACAAAGTTGCGAAGGCAAGTTCACATAACTACTATCCTTAGTTTTAGTTGAATCTATAATTTTTCATTGTGCAGCGTAATTGAATTTTACTGACATAAACAAAATAATTTTTTAAGATACATTAATGTGAATTATATTCAATAAAAATATGCTCTGCAAGCTTTTGAAAAATAGTCAATTGCGGTCAATAAAACTATACTTGGATTCAGATTTGAGCATAGAATCAAGCTGAATTAACATAATAAATTTGATAAAGGTATTTTTTTTCCCTATATTATTATCCTACCAGTATTTCAATTATTTGTTTTAAAATAACTCGGGATTACTTACCAACAGTAACATTGAATATAAAAACAGGTTTAATGTTGTAAGGCCTTGATGAATCCATTGTGACCTCTTCATATGTCTCCTCTTTTTCTCCATTCTTATTATTTGACAATACTTTTTTCCGACTTTCCCCAAAAACCTGCTCTGGTTCTAATTTCACTATATTCTCTGTATTTCGAATTTTATCCTGCTTTGCCATCGAATTTATAGTAGTCTTATAACTCCGCTGTCTTTGCTCTCTGAGTTTCGGTTTTACATTATTATTTGTGGACCATTTGTTTACTTGAGAAATTTCCTCTGCTTTTGCGAGATCATGCATGTGATTTCCATCTGCTTGCTCTCTTTCCTTTTCCATGAAATCAACACCATTTGTAGATTCCACATGAATTCCATATTTTTCAATTTCTTTTTCCTTATCTAATAAAGGAACAGAAGGAGTAGTCGGCTCAGTCGTTGTACAAGTGTATAGACCTGAGTCACCAAGCTCAGCAAGATTGATGTTTAACTGCCATGCGGTTGTTGGAAGAGATTTCCCGCCATTTATACCAGCATTTGGGTAGCTATTTTGCTCAGTGCCACTGTCCTTATTAAAATTTCCTGTACTCTCTTCGTGATAAATTTGGACACGAGAATCTGGAGTCAAACGACTAATTCCGATGGTTAGTGGGTATGCTAAGCCTTCTTTGGTCCAAATAACCTGAGTAAATATAAAAATAAATATATTATCTTAATCTTGCAGTAAATTGGATAGCTGTATCTAGTGAAACTCTTAGATAATGAGTTTAGATCCTATATTGACAATAATAAGGAGCATTAGTTAACTTTCTCTGAGAAGAGACAACTTAAGCATTTAAGCTTATTTTCATTTTTTATTTGATCTAAGACCATAGGACTCTTTTTATAGAAGCAATACGTATATAATGAATTTACGTATCGCCATCAAAACAAATTCAATATGTCGCCATATCTTTTTTCACTTTTGAAAGTTATAAATATCAGTTTAAAAGAATGAGTAAAGCACAAATCATTTATAATCCTCAAATATTTAGCTATTGTGTGCACTGACTATGCAGAACAAGGTAATTTTCTTTATAAACTGAAATTTTTTAATATCAGAGCAAAACTAAAGTTTCAATTAAGAAAATCGAAGCAACATTCCTATTGGTGTAGCAAGCAACATCTGATAAAAGAGGTAAAATAATTCCTCAAAAAATAAATTAATTTAAACTTGTGAAGCAACCCTAAATGTCAGTAAAAATGAATAAGCACTGGCTTTTTTTAGAATAAATGATTAATTCTCTATAAAGAGCCCTTATTTATAGAATCTTTTAACAGCTCAAAAGACGTTTACAATATTTTGGCCATACCTGTTTAATTCATAAGATTGCCCTGAGAACATAGCCTTCTAAAACTTCCTTTTAGATAGAGTAATTTTACCCAAGAAAATTTTAACTTGCCTTTAATTTTTCATAAATGAGATCTTTATTAATGAGCACGATATAATAAACAAATGAGAAATGTTGATAGATGGTAACTTCCTTAATAGGGAAAATCAAATTTATATAATATTTACTTATATAAAAACAGTTCTGACGCTATTCTTAAGCAATTAATAAGATATAGATAAATCAATAGGCTGTTCGAATTTTTTATTATGCTTTTAAACTTTAAAAATATTTCTACGCAATCGGAATAAAATAAGGTTAATTTAGTCATTTAATCTGTATTACACATTTCTATTTTAAAGGGTTACTAGTAAAATTTTATTAATCTTAATTACTATTAGCTAATTGCCTGAAATTAAATTAAAATGTTCTTAAGAATATTGGTCCAAAATTTAAAATAAATCTCCTTTCATGCTGATATTTTATTACCCCTTAATAAAGCTAATATATGCTAAAAATTTTATTAGGCCCATTTAACAAAATATAAGAATTTGGACCTTGCTTATTTTAATGGTTAGCACATTTATCTTGTAAACATGATAATTGCGCTATAACATAAAGGGACTATGCCACTGATAAATAAATATTGCTTTTACATTATGACAATTTAATATCAACTTGCTTAATTGAACTAATTATTGAATTTTTACCAATAATTTAAGTTAATTAGCAGTCCTTATTAATCGAAAATTTTACAAACCATCATAAGAATGTACTTGCATAATATATATATATATATGACAGCTATACAGATATGGGTTTGAAAATACAAAATTTACTTTAAGGATCACGCCTTTTAAATATTTTATGCTTATTATGTACTAAGTTTGAATGCGGCATAGTGATTGGTATAAACTTGTAGCTTCTATACTTTAATTAAAGTAGATTCAAACTAACAAGGCTGAATTAATATTTATTTAACGGCACAGTAAATACGTTCTAGAAAAAAATCTTTTGTATTGCAGAATCTATTGATGGAAGAGAAACGTCTTTTAAATGTTGTTAACTTAATCATATAAATTGGCCCTGATTTTTTTCCGAATAAATCTGCACATTTTATTAAATCGAGCTTCTTCGATGATTAATATTTAAACATTCGCTAATTAATCGATTTACTAATCAAGCACACTATGAATATAAAAGCTATTAACTTTTATCCATATACTAATGTTTTAAAAAGGTTTGAAAATATTAAGACTTACCATATAGTTCCCTTTTGGAATATGGCATTTCATGATAATTGTCCCTCCAACTACGCTATAGATCTTCTTAATTTGGTTTTGAGGGTCTATTTTGTATTTAGATGTATCTTTTTTCTTGGTTTTTCTTTTATGTTTTATTGGGTTATTAGTTAGAAATTGCTTTTGTTTATCAGCATCATTGTATTCCAAAAGTTTTCGAATACTATAAACATTCTGCACTTCGCCCACAGCCTGAGATTTATCCTCCATCCCCCTCTTTAATCTCTTATATTTATTCTTTCTTCTCTGCAAATGCGCCTTATCCGGGTTAAATTTAATAAGATTTGATTTCTTATGAGTTGTGCAATTATTATAATTACACTCGTCGATAGAATATTTCATAGCATCTAAAAATAAGAGCAGCGGATCTAATGAGTCGAAACTTTCTGGCTTCTTTATAGGTTCTGTTGAATTAACCGCAAGAGACTGATTTTCATCAGTATTTCGAAATATTAGATTAATTTTCTCTGAAAATGGGTCACCATTATTTTTGGTGATTGATTTTTTATTAGAGCTATCAGCAGTATTTCTGTCTGGAATATAGGAAGATGCCAAATATGGTAAATCTTCTTCAATATTTGGCAGAAAGTACTTATTTTGAACATCTTGCCAATTAGTCACATTTGTTCTAGCCATATCTAAAGAATAGGGTTTTGAGCTGTCATTTATTCCTGGAGAGATCTTAGTTATCATTTCTTGAAAGCAATTATTCACATTAGGCAGTTCTAAAATATGAGAAGAGTTAGTTTGTGAGGTAAGATTCACATTGCCTAAATTAAGTTAAACTGATAAAAAGAAATGGTGATTATTATAATGTAGCATAAAGTTAAATTATATTTTAGAAAAACAATTTTTCTTATTTTTTAATTATATAAATTTGTGCCATTTTTAAAATTTTGAAAGAAACGATTTTACATTTGAAGTA